ATCATCATTAGCATATGATCCGGGAAATCAGTTTCCTCTTCATCAAACTCCAGGTTTTCAAAGGTTCCCCCAAAACCTTCTGATTCATTTTTAGTTTCCAAGAATGAATCTTTCAGTGGAGAGATAGTGGTAGGTGGATCAGTTGATTGTGAAGAAAAGAGAGTTGTGAATGGATGTGAAATAATGTGAGTAAATGTGGGAGAATCAGTGGTAGATGCTAGGGGTTATCCGAGAAGGCAAAGAAATGAGAGATTCGGAAACCACATTCGAGGTGTTACCTTTAGCTGCATTATTCAAAGTATCCTCACTCATGATAACATTTGTATCCATATCAGATATGTTTACAGGGATGTCTGAAGTTCGAGCCTCTATAGTAACTGTCTTGGCAATCGAAACTTCGGGTGGTTGAGTCACTAAAGTATTAGCTTTAGAAGATTCGTTGATAAGAACTGTCTCTGGAGTCTCTGGAATAACTTCTATCTCATCAGCTGTAGAATCAGAAGAGAGAATCAACTTACGCTTCTTCTTCTTAGAAATATGCATATCCATGTCAGTAGCCATTCTCTTCTTTGATGATGGAGAAGCAGGGGCAGGAATTTCCCGAAAAATCACCCCTTTATGAGATACTTGTGGTTTACGAACAACATTCTTACCTGATGATCTTCACATGCTCTTCGACTTCATCTTAATTCGTCTGAATACACCAGTCTTTGAAGGAATGACTTCCTTTTCAGTGACCTGGGTATCAGGAATAATCGACTCTGGCTGAATTGGCTTAGGTTCAATCACAGGAACCTGCTTCGTTTTCTTTGAAGACTTGACTTTTGTATCCGAATACCCAACATCAGTTGTCTTCGACTTCTTTGACTTCTTTTCAGATATATGTGGTAGAAGAATCCCAGTTTCCACAGAAGTATTGATGGTTGCTAAGTAAGAAACCAAGACTGGGTTCGAAGGATCAACTCTCTTTAGCATCGCGTCAGGGATACGAGCTGCAAACGGAAACTCATCCAAATCATCCGTTGCATCCTTCGGACAACTATATGTGTGAAACACAGCCTTCTCCTCATTAACTGGAACTAATATACCTTCTTTATCATATAAATGTTGCAAAATCAAGCTCCAGTATCTAGCACACGAAATGCCATGAATAGCATTCATGTTCTCGATACTCTTTTGAAATTCCTTCCACAATTGAGTCGAATAGTCCACCTGGAGATCATAATACAACCCTGCTACATGGCGTATACCTCCATTCTTCCCTTATCAAGTACTACCATTCTGCTAGTCAAACAACGGAGAAAAATACCAAAAAGAAAATTTCATACACATGGAAGCCACGACTTCTTAAAATCGTTGATTTTACTTAGCTAGGGTTGATGACCCATTTCGTTGAACATGTGGACAATTTGAGGAAATGTGAATGAACATATGGTGGAGAATTTGGGATATCGAGAACTTTGTAGAAAAGCTTTTATGTCAATCTAACCTTTTTATCATTGATTAAGTTAAATGTAACAGCATCCAATCCTTTGGAATATGTGGCGGTTGATCCTGCTTGTGATAAACAGGAGAGAGGAATAGAAAAGGAGTTGAACATTGCTTTTGATAAGATGGAGTTTTGCACAGCAACAATCAGCATTTTAAGTTCTTCAGGATATAGTGAAACATTGGATTCCACCTGATAATTGGTACCCTAGATCTTCATGATTGGCAAAGAAGTAATATCATCCGTTGTGTGAGAAGGTTCAAACATAACATTTCAACATTCACCATTTTTAGGGTTTTGAAGTAAATGATGAACAGAGAGAAGTTGATTTACAGAGAGTATTTGGAATGAAGAAAGTGTAAACGGATCATTAACCCTTGTATCCCCTTTTATATGTCACTCTTCAATTTGAAATCAAAGCGGGATATGCATTTAATGCTTGCTGACGTGTCACCGCGAAAAGCGCATCATGATGATGATAAAATAACCATGCGTCAAAAAGTAACTGTCACATCACCTTGAAAATCGGAAGTAATATAAAACATCTCCTCAAACAGCCTGTATTTATTGACCCAATGGAATTGTAACCGTCAGAACCCTTTGAATGGAGGTTAGGCTCTTTTACTTTTGGGTTTCGAAGTAAATTCATTTTCCAGAGTTTCGAAATCATTAGCCTGAGTTGTATTACTCAGAACCTCAAGGATTTCGTGTGTGCATTGTGTCAAAGAATTAAGATCAGAAGCAATTTGTTTTTTTTTTTTGGATATTTGTGATGTCAAAAATGAATTTGACACGAAGGTAGTTAAACCCCAGGCAAAGGTTTCTTTGTTAATTATCAAGAGACATAATCAACAGCTTCTGTATGTTCCCATGAAATACAATCGAAAACTTGTAGATAAGTTTCGAAGGGCATCTTTTGTAAGGTTACATGGGTGGCTAAAAACAATTTCGTTACATATCAGCCTTAACATAAGGTGAGTAATTGTAACATAAATTACTTGTGTGACAGTGTAGCCAGTGACAAGTGTGCTTTGAAAAATATTTAAAGTAGCTTTGGGATTCGAAGTAAACTTACACATAAATCATATTCATGAAAAAAAACATTATATAGGATCTTGATGGGTAACAAACTTCATGGGTTACGAAAATTTGATCAAGATCACTCATACGAAATGAATATGATTTGGAGTTTTGAAGATTGGTACTGAAACAAAAGTTTCGTGAAAGCCAGAACATAGTTCCCCATCAATTCCTTAATTTGGAAAGAAATTTGGGTTTCACTATCATCACGGTCTCATGATGACTGATCATTAACACATATTTGTGATATATCTAGATTTCGATTGGTTTTGATCAGAAACCTCGTGGATATATGCCTTCGTATGTGCAAGTGTAAGAATTTTAAGATGAAAAAGATTAGTTCCTTAGAAAGAATGTACCTCTGTTATATTGGACCAAACAGAAAACTTTTAACTCGTGTGAGAAGAGTAAGGTAGCTCATTGGACTAATGCAAATGTAAGCCTTATTGGGAAGAAATCTTCGTATGAATAATTTCATTAAGGCTTTCGAACATTGAGTCAATTCAAGGCTTTAGACAACATGCTATAGCATGCTTCTAGGGACATCTTAACTAGTTTTTAAAATTTAAAATTCAAAGAGTAGAGATTTATACCTAACCCTAGAACCTGCGAACATTTGCCTCTTCATCTCTTCAAGAAAATCTACAACAAAGTACTTAAAGAAAAAATAAAATCTTTTTGTTGTTTTTTATTTTTCGAAAAAAAGAACAAAACAAAATGAAAATATTTTTGATATTTTTGAGTTTTCGAAAGTAAAGAGCAAAAAAAAAAAAAAAAAAAAAAAAAAAAACACACAACAGTTACTTGTTGCAGATCTTTGAATCTTAAAATGAGATAAAAAAATTCCAATCATACGAATTCGAACCATTCGAAGAGTGACATATGAACAGTAACCTTATCCATTGATGACATGTCTGTGAACTGTCAATCTTCTTTTTCGCATGAAATTGAATCACCATCAACCATTCCAAGTCCTTCTAAAATTCTTACAAACGATTTTTCATCCAATGCTTTCGTGAAAATATCAGCCAATTGATCAGTACTTTTCACAAAATGAACTTCAATATTCTCATCTTCTACATGATCTTTTATGAAGTGATAGCGAAGAGCAATGTGTTTGGTGTTCGAATGCTGCATAGGATTATGACAAATTCTTATTGCACTTTGTAATTCACAATATAAAGGAATCTTTTTCATATTAATTGCATAATCACATAATTGACTTTGAATCCATATCATATGTGATGTGCAAGCAGCAACAACAACATATTCAGCTTCGGTCGTTGAGATATAAACACATGTCTGCTTTTTCGATTGCCAACTTACCAATTTACCATCAAGTAATTGACAACCACCACTTCTACTTTTCCTGTCCAGATTACATCCTCTTAAATTGGCATCCAAATATGCTTGAATAAAAAATCCAGTATTCGAAGGGCACCACAATCCATGCGAAGATGTTCCTTTGAGATGACGAAAGATATTCTTCACAACAGTGAGATGTGGTTCTCGAGGATTTGATTGATACCTAGCACAATTACAAACAGAAAACATGATATCAGGTCTAATTGCAGTCAAATAAAGTAAAGATCCAATCATGCTTCTGTATAAAGTTATATCAACGGCAGGTTTATCTAATGTCACACCCCCAAACCAAGGATGGCGGAAACGTCCGGGGGTGGAGGACTTCATGTATAGTATCATAACCACAAGTTCAATAGTAATTTAAGCAAACACAACCAACATATATATAATTGAAAAAGTTACATCACTTGTATGAATTACATGTTTCAAAATCAATTACAATATGTTGACAAAATATGGAAAGTTTGACGCCTTAACGTCCCATCCTCAAAAGCACTTGATTTCCTATTTAGTGATTTCCTGAGAATACAAGTTGTTTGAAAAGTGTCAACACAAAGGTTGGTGAGTTCATAAGTTTTTGCTATAAAACTTAATAGAAGTCTTTCTCATGTAAATGTCGCGTTTGTTTTAGAAAAATCCGATATTTTCCTTAAAATCCGTATAATGTAGCCTTATGACCAAAGACCAAAATGTATAAGAAATCATTCTTACTTAGTAGAAATGTCATGAGTTTGAATTGATATAAAAAGTGAATTTAAATCAACCTAAAACCTACTTAGGTTTTATGAAATCCGTAAACTTTATGAATTGTTATCTCCCTATGTGAGTCGCTATAATCATACTATGACTATGTGAACCTGCCACGACGTTTCTCAGGCGTCGCGAAAATGAAATGACATTTGTCACCCGTAGACCTGCAGGTCCCACTGTAGCTAGCAGCAAGGTGTGGGGTGTCAAACCCAATATAGATCTATATACAAGTATCACGTTCTCCCTCCAGGAGACTCTGATTATAACTACCAGGAATTATATTCCGCACTCGGACGTACGGAAAGAGAGAATGTCTCACAATTTAGGGTAACAAGTTTACGTATAATGTGTGTGAGTGTAAACCTTTTCTGTATGAATGTACTCTTTTAGTACGAGTGTGTTATACAATATATCATAAACTATACCTATTATAGTTTATCTAAAACGTTTGTAATATGTAAGAACTCTTTTATGGAAATGTATTAGTGTTATGAATTTATTAAACTATACTTTTTATAGTTTAATATACGTGTTCTAAAATGAATGAATAATATTTATTATGAATGACTTAGTTTCAGTTCATGATGATAAACTAACAAAGAAACACATTCAATAATTAGAACTTATGATTATACACTTTGCTCAACATAATACAAAGTGTTATGATATTTACATGTGTTGGCTAACTTTAGCCATTCTGCACTGTTTTGGAAAAATCATAGAAAAATCATACGAAGTCAAAAACTAGATCCGTAAATTCTGAGAGTTCACAAAAATGTGTCTAGTTTACTCATAATTTTTATCACGATTTTTAATGACCTCCAACTTGGGTGAAAAAGTCCATAATCACAGACTGGTCCGGATTGTTGTTTGAAATGATAGGCAGTTTTGTAAAAATCACCATAAATTGTAGAAAAATCGTATGGAGATGTGCAAGTAGTCATTTTAAAGCTAAGAACTTGAACTATTTGAACCTTGTAAAGTTTGAAAACAAAAATGTTTAAGATGCCCAAAACAGTCCGTGAATGGAGTTGAACTTTTCTGATGAAGGCTGTTAGAAAATTTTAGTTATGTTCTTGGTGTTTTAACTTGTATTCCCCCCTGAAAACTTGAGAAAACATGAAAATGTAGGGGTATGAACTCACCTTAAGTGATTTCAGTAGATGATTGTTGAAGAATGGAAGTGTTTAACTCAAGAACACTTGGAGATGCCTTGAAGATTTTCGAGAATCTAACATCATAGTTATGGAGTTTGTGTAAGCAATCAATGATTTGAGTAGAATGAAGTGAA